GATCCTGATTTAATTTTCAGTAGGACTGCTGACAACTGTGAAATTAAACATGTGCTTAAATCTTTGCCAGATCAGTCCAAGCAATCTCACCTGGAATCACACACATGAACAGCTCCTTCAACTCAGACTTGAACAACCCTTTGAATACATCAGACCCATTCTATAGCCACATCTGGTTATTTCCGATTAATAATGAATAATTTACCTCACAGACAGTTATCACGAATTCAGTCTTTTCAATAACAAAATCATTTCCCTGTAGATGGCAACCAGAAATTATATTCTTTTCTTAAATACAAGAAAGAAGGAAAGGTTTGAAACAAGTTATCAAAAAAGTAAGAGGCTTAGGATTGTGACAATTTACTCAGTCTATACTTTTTTTTCATCTTTTGCCTTTGGATTATCTATCAGTAGTGAGATCCTCATATAAACCAGATACTGAAACAGCTTCTTCTGACTCTGAATACAGAATCATTTATATTTTTACATTTCATTGAGGAAAACTCCATGTTTGGATGGGTGTAAGGTGAAACTGTGTAGATTGCTCTGAGATGATCCCTGGCAGTACCTACCGTGGCAACATTTCATCCCTTCTCTCTTGTGAGAAATACCAGATTAGAGAAATGAAGTGTGATTTTTACATGAAGGACATTGTCTCCAGGAAATGTCAAAAACAAGGTCCTCATATCCAAAAATTCATCAGTGAAAGAAGCATGAGAATTGTAGCGACCACAAGGTGGTCAGTCTGCATCAATGCTGCCCCTGCCAGCCACCAAGTCAAAAGTCTTCAAACGAACTTCATAAAACTTGTAATAAACTTCACATGTAGAAAACAGGAGACCAGCATTTTTAATGTGGTCTAGGGTCTTGTGCTACTTTTATCAGGACATGTATAACACACACAAAACACATGAGAAATATCAGTTTTGGAGATTCACAATCCCTTTTGAAGTTTGATTGGAAACCAAGTTCTGACTAGCTAGAAATACAATTTGGCAGCATGTATTACTTTAAAGGATTTCAGAAAAAAAAATTATTTTCAACCTGTTCAGTGTTGTCTTGTCTCTCAATTCATTTTCCATATAAACAAGTCTATTTATTTCAGAAGAGGCTGAATAAAAATTTATCTCTCAAATACAAAATCTTGATTTCACGTATTCAATGGAATTAAATTTTGGACCCCAATCTATAGGCTTTACTCAAGGAACACTCCCACTGAAGGCACTGAAATCAGAATGTATATGACTAACACTTGTCTTTCATTTTCAAACAGTCATTTTATATCACTGCTTTTTCATATATTTCAGACAACTGCGGAAGATCATTGTCCCACCTAAACATACCCCTATGTACTGAGATAGATCAAGGAATTATATAAAAAGAATATGTCATATAAATGCACCACAATGCTATAACAAAAAAAAAATAAACAAAAAACCTGTACAACTACCTAAGTTAGATATTTAGCTTGATTATTCTCACCAAACTGGGGTTTGGATTTTTTTTCCATGCTAACAAAGCAAATAACTACAAACCTACTTTCATTTGATATCAAATAAATAGGAATTGAATGGTTATAACCCTACTGCAGAAGAACTGAACAAATGCCTCAAAGAAAAAACTGCCACCTGAGGAAAAGCCCATAAAGTGCAAAATACAATACTGCATATTAAAATCATAGTTAGTAGGAGTTTTCTGTTGACATTACAGGTGGTTAATCTGGCATTTATCTAATCTTAATTAGAGTTCTTCCTGACTCACACTATCAGAAAACCAAAGTGGGGGGGGGAAGTCAAGGGGGAAGAGGGGTGAATGCTTATTTGTATGGCCAATATGTCATGCAACATATAATAAAACTATCAGTCAACTCCTTGGTTGGATGGTGCAAATTGTCCCTGAATTCACTTAATCTCTAACAATTCTGCATCAGACAGAGCTCTGGCTAGTAAGTAAAAGCATATATGAATTTTAAAAAACTTTTAAATTTGTTATGGTTTTGTTCATATTTACATGTTTTATTTAGGTGGCAAATATCTGTTTATTCTACCTGCTGGATGAAAACGGGAGCTGGCCAAACAGCAAGTGCTCACATTAGACACAACTGCGCTTACTATAGTGACCTTCACAGTAGCAAGCACTCTTTCTGCAGAGCGACTTGTTGATGTCAGTGCACGTTACCAACGCTTCACTGCTTTTATCAGAAACACGCCATCACCGGCACAATTACTACTACTGCCTGCACGTGGTGTGTGCTACAGGTGGGTTTTGGAAGAGGATAGCTAGTTGTCCCCGGGCAAAAATCCACTTGAAAAGGCTGTGGAGGAGTGGTCTACTTGTGCTACACTTGCTGGATGGGGCGTGGTGTGGGTGAAGCACCCACACGGAGCTGCCTGGCTTGGAGGGGACACAAAGAGGGTGTGGGACAGGCAAAATGAAGCATTTTTCCCCATGCACTTACTGTAGCTGTAGTTCTTGGCCAGGTAGTTTGACAGCGTAGGCTTTGTCTTTTTGCACCTGCACCGCTCTTCAAAGGAAGAGAAGGGAAAACGGTTGAGGGGTGTCAGAATGAGCCTGTCTCCGGGGAGGGGGAGGGGGGGGGGTCTCCCAAGGCTCACCCTGGCCACGGCTCCTGCAGTCGGGCTCCAGGGGTCTCTCCGGCAGCATCATGCCCTGCGTGAAGTCCGTCCACTTCACATCTGCAAACAGAGGCGCGTCAGGGAATGAAAACTGTCAGGAAAGGCTCCGGGACAGAGGCTTGGGGGTCCCCCAGCCACACACAAACACACACCCCGGGGGTAGAGGGGGTCTGCCCTCCCGCTGCTCCTAGGGTGCTCACCCTCCGGCAGGTCGGTGACAATGGCCTCTGGGGAGATGCAGACACCGCGGTCGTAGACGGGGAGATCGTCGCAGGCCAGGCTCTCGGGCCAGCTGTGGTTGTAGCGGCGCATGATGGGCTCGCAGCCGTCGCGGGCGCGCTGGCAGACGGAGCGGCACGGCTTGATGGGGTCGTAGAGGAACTCCAGGGTGCAGATGGGGGCGTACATGGCGCAGAGGAAGAAGGGCAGGACCGGGCTGCAGCCTGTGGCCACCAGTTCCTCGTACTGTTCGATGGCGAGGACGGCGTTTTCCTGGGTGCTGTGGTGGAGGTGATTGGGCATGCGGGTGATGTTCCAGGGCATGGAGCGGCACATGGGGATGCGCACCGCCTCGCACGGCGCGCCCTGCGCCCGCGGGCTCACCCGCAGCCACAGGGACACCGCCACCAAGGCGCGCAGCATCCTTCTCCTCTTCCTCCTCCTTCTTGTCCCTCTCCGCCGCCGCCCGCCGCCGCCCCGCGGGTCCCGGCGGCCGAAGGGCGCGGAGCGGCGCTGTCTCCCGGTGCCCGGCTGCAGTCAAGTCGCGGGAGCCGCCGCGCCGACAGCCATGGACATCGCGGGACCTCATTTATACCGGTGGCACGAGTGACGTGGGGCCGATCGCGCTCCCTTGGCAGCCCCGCTCCTCCGGGGGGGTGTGCGTGTGCGAGTGCGTTTTGCTGTGCAGGCACGGTGACATCACCTCCACCCCGTTTAATCCCCCGGCGACATCACTGCGTCTCTCGGCCGCGGCTCCAGCTCCGTTTCAGTTTTCATCTGTGTCATAAATTTCTTCAGGTGGAAGGAGGGGCGGAGGGGAAGGAAACCCAAACCACACGGTTCTGCCACGGGGCTCTGCGCTCCGGCGCGGGGAGAGGGAAGGCGACGGTAGGGACCTCAGTTCAGCGGGGCTGAACTCTACGCTGCCTTTTCTCAAGGGAGAAGAAACTTTTTGCGGGCTTGAGGAAGCTCGGCGGCTGTTCCCGGCGCTTCCAGGAAATTGTAGATTTCCCTCTGTGAGCTCGGCACGGACGGGCGCGTGAAGAGGACGGGCGGACAGATGGGGTAGTAGCTCCTTGCCCGATTTGCTCGGGACAAGGGAAGAGGCGGCGGTCGAGCCGAGCCGAGCCGGGAGCGGGCGGCGGGGCCGGGGCAGCGCGGGGCCAGTATGGGGTTGCTCTGCGGGCAGTCAGCCCCGCGCTCCGCTCCACCTGCCTCTGTCCCCCACCAATCGCATCTGCACTCGAGTGGAAGAAGGGGTTTCAGGCTTTTCCCAAGTGGTTTTTAATTCTTTTTTCCTTGGTGCTCCACGGCCACGCGCCCCTGATGCAGCGCAGTGGCATGCCCACGCGGGGGCATGGGGCTACCTCCCACCCCACCCCGTGCCCGGAAAGACCTACGGCCCCTTTTTTCACTTGTGGGAAAATGCTGCTACTCAGTCTTTGAGGGACCTGCTGAGAAAACAAGATGCCAGATTATCGCAGTGGCCTGGGAGCGCCCCAGCGCAGCTCAGAGGTAGTAGCTCCCGGGCCTGCCTCCGCCAGGTACAGTGGTGCTACCGGTGTTCCCCCTTGCAGGCGCAACAGAGCCACAGAGATGGAGCATCTGTGGAGCTCAGGCTTCCTCCTCCCTTTGGGGGCGAGGAAAGCCCATCGAGAGCGGGCAGGAAACAACAGCTGATAAACCTAAGAGGGCAGTGGGAGGTGAAGGAATGCATGTGCTTTGTGACACTGGCTGCCCGTGCGGAGCCATTGAAATTCTACCGTTGAAGACAACATTAAAGCAGTTTGATCCAGCAGGTCCCACTTGTTTGTGTATCCCCTCCCTCTCTAAGCCCGCACAGAATGCCCGGTGCTTGGGCCTCGCAGCTGCCCCTCTGGGCACCCCCCAGTGGGCACCGCCAGGGTGCGCAGACCCTCCTGGGTGCTAGGAGGGAGGCGTGGGTGGGCGAGGGTCCGGGTAGCCCGTCTCCTGTCGCCCCCGATGCCTCCTCCTGCGCTTGTACACGGCAGCTGGCGCAGCAGCCGCCCGTCCTCGCCGAGGTGATGCGGGTTTGGAGGCGGGCCGCCCCCGCCCCCCCGGCACAGCCTGCCCGCCCGCCTACGCGCCGTGCGGGGCGGCCGAGTGCGGAGCGGAGCGCGGAGCATGGCGCGGGCGGCGGGCGGGCGGCAGCTGCGGCCGGGGCCGGCGCCGCCGCCGCCGCTGCTGCTGCTGCTGCTGGGCGTCCTCCTGCTGAGGGGTGGCGCGGCGGCGGCGGGGGCCAAGCCGTGCCAGGCGCCGCGGCAGTGGGAAGGGCGCAGCGTGTTCTACGAGCACGGCTCGGGCCGCAACACGCGGGCCGCCGTCTCCTACGATGGCCCCAACCAGCGCCTCCGCATCCTGGAGGAGAAGAAGGCGCTCATCCCCTGCAAGAAGTAGGTGGCGGCGGCGGGACCTTGCGGCCGGGCCGGGCCGAGCCGGCCCGGTTGGGCGGGGATGGTCGGCACAAAGCCCGGAGGCGGCTCCCGGGTTGTGTGGGGTGATGTGGAACCGGGAGGGAGGGGATCTCCCTCGGTCCCCAGCGTTGCGGGCGGCACCTCCCCTGCATGAGACGGGGGAGCGCGGGGAACGCCGGAGGGGAGGCACCTGCGTAGTGGGAATAACTGGCGGTAGAAAACCTGTCACCAACATGACTTAAATCCGTCCTCTGTACATAAAGAGATTTATGATCAAATGTCAGCTTTTTACCTTCAGAGATATTCCCCCCTCCCAGCTATTTTGTCTTTTAGGTGGAATGAGCAGCAAAATTAAAAATGCAGCCCAAAATGTGAAGTATAACACGTATCAAGAGGTAAAATGAAGAGATTATACTCAAACGTGAATAATGTCACAGGGGGAGGGGGAAGATTCTAGCTCAGTAACTTGCTAACATTTTACAAGTTCTCTGGACCCTCTTGGTCCTTGAGTGCCAAGGTATCAGGATGCATCTGCTATCTGTGATACAGTGTATTCATTCACACCACACAGCCCTGCAGGACCTCATTGTTTTTCATGTATACAGGATGTATCTGTTAAGGCCATAAGTAATCCCCCCAAATCCCTGTGTCATTGTGCATTTCTTGTTTTGCTGAAAAACAAGCATAGAAAAAAACTAACTGAAGAAGAGCCTCTTTTTTTTCTCCTCAACCTACCAAGCTCAGGTTGGGTAGAAGAAATAATCAGACCAGAGAGGCCTTCCTGAGTGAGACATTTCTGCCTACTGAGGGTCAATGACTTTCAGAAAACATGTCAAGACATGCCTGCCAGTGTGAGAGTAGCCAGTCTGCCTGTACCTCCACCTCTCCCACCTACAAATTATTCAAATAATAGTCCATCAGTCCTGGGGATGTGTAAGCCAAAGTAAAGATGGGCCTACAAATGCTGTATCATCCAAACTAAATGATCTCTGCCATTGAAAGATCAGTATTCTTTTTTGCTGCTGCCTTTTTTCTCTGACAATCAGTTTCTTACCAACATCACATAGTAATTGTTTTAGCCTTTTCAAATGCTCTTCTGTGATCCTTTCTCTACAAATCCCCTGGCACTCTTAAAACTATTTTATGTGTTTCATTTTCAAGCTAATCTTTCCCTCATCAGTTTTTTTATCACTGTTTTCATATAGGACCCATATGAAGAATGTTAAAAACAACATACAGATGTTTGCTGGTGTTCTGCTAAAATACGGCGTAGAGTCTGACCCTGGCCAAGGGGTGCTCATGGTCCCCTTCTTTAGGAGTCCTAGGTTGACCTTCATGTTTGACAAGTGTGAAACTGCTACAAAGTCCGATGCAAGTCATTTCTAGATTCTAAATTGTACTGAATTAATTTCTTCAAGCTTTTATTTGAAAATTTTATTTAAGATTTAATAATTATTCTGCATTTTCTACTCCTGGCCAGATTTTATTTCTTGCCAAGATCTTACCTTTTTACATTTTTGATAAATATTTGCTCTGGATTCAGTTTTTTCTGGGCTGATAGGACTAGAAAGAGGCAGAGTGCAGTAAGATGCACTTGAAGCATTCCTCTGTTGTTTTTTCCTGTATTAGTTTTTTGTTGTAGATGGTTTCTGACCCCAGGGATCCCCAGTGTTTCCATACTGACTGTGTTTTCTGCCATCCAAAACAGGAGAGGGGTTTTGTTATGTGTGCAGCTAGTGTCTGCTCGGGGCATGACCCTTCCAGGGCTTCCATTGAAGGCAGCGGAAAGTCTGCCATTGATTTCAGTATGTGTTGGATTGGGTCTGGAGTTGTGATCACATCTTCATTTCACTGTGGACACAATGAGTCATAAACTGAAGCCTTCAGAAGTTAGAGGCACAGAGATATATCCTGTCTTGAATAATAACCTCTCCCCTACTCTGCTTTGACCTTGACAAAAAAAGGGGTAATTACACTGAGGTATAGACTACAAAATCAACAAGAAGAATAATCCTGGTCTCTAAGGAAATCTTGGTTTAAATTCTCACATTTTGCTCCTATCAGATGCAACTTATGTGCAGCAATCAGGGTTGGCCAACAACCACATTTTTCTGCAAAGCATTTTCTGAAGATTGTGAATGTGAACGTTAATCAGACGCAGCCCTGTTTGAGTTATTGACTGAGGTTAATCAGGGACACAAAGATTTGCCTGTGTGGAATGGCTTGTAGGCTCGTAACTGCAGGAGAATATGAAACTTTCAGGTTTTATTGTAGATATATGTTTCAAATTCATGTCATTTGCTATGTGGCGTTTTCATACCTATGTCAACCCAGTAAAACATACCTACATCAACCTCAGAAAAGTAGCCATAAGGTAAACATCCAAGTGTTGCTTTGTTAACATCACTTCTTTGCTCGTTAGTCATTGAAGAGCACTCGAAATGCAGTGACCACATTGCCTCCCCATTGTCCAGGTGCAGTGTGCCACCTGAGCACACACCTCACTTGCCAGACAACAAAGTAGAACCAGTTCATTAAAGAGGTCTTTGATGGTAGTTTCAGCCAGTTTGTCGAGTGGGTGTTTCTTTGGATCATACAGTTGGCTGCCGATACTCTGGCTTAGAGTGTAAAAACTTCCAATAGTGATCCTAGGCTGAGCTTTTTAGAGGAGAACCTGTTCTAGTTGGATTAATTACTAAACTTTCTTTTTCACTTCTTTTACAGACCCAGCCTTATCTACACTCTGCTTGTGTTTTCTCCAGTGTGCTTTACCCTGCTGCTTTTTTCCCCTTCAGGGTCAAATCTTTGGGAATAGACAAGGAGGGCAAGGACAGTGTTATGGTTTTGTGTAGTCTTCAGCTGATAGCAGGAGAGGAGAAAAGAAAACAAACCAGTTTTCATTGAGTAGTTTGCACCATTTCCTATTTGGAAGAGGTCGTGCCAGTAGGGTTATTGTATAACGTGAAAGGAGAACGCTTGAAACAGTTCCCTAGAGCTCTTGAGAGAAAGCTGCATTCATGTTATCTGTTAAACACAGGATGTGTTTTTTAATCCTTTATTGCCTATTACATGGAGTTACTTCCTTTTGTGCTCTCTGGATATTAAACCTTCTTCACTCTTGTTCAGTCCTCTGTTGGCCACCAACTCAGGACACTTCACAAAATAGGTAACAGTCATCAGCATGATTTGCCGTTGGGGCAGAAGTGTTTCTTTTTAAGGTAGCTTCTAATGGTTTAGATTTGAATATGACATTACTGCAAACTGGTGAAAAATCCTGGCACAAAAAGGTCTAAACAAAAAATCCTACTGACTGCATTATGCCCAGAACTTCATGTCATCCATCACCTTTATTTTCTTGGAGAAACAGAGCAAGAGGTGTGGTGAAGCCACTCAACAGGTGTTAATGCTCAGTTATAAAGAAAGAAAAACATGAAGTGAGGAGCAGAGCAGAAGTAAGGTAGATGGTGTTTAAGGGTTGGAGTGTTACTTATCACATGCTGTATTCACAGTTTCACGCTTATCTTCCATCCTATTTTCTACAGAATGATTTTCAGGGGAGGCCCAGTAACAGAGTGTCCTATGAGAAATGTGATAGTGGGAAGAAAAAAATTTCCATGTGCTCAGAAAAGTCAGTGGGAGGAAGAAAATGCTTTTTTTTTTCCTTCTATGAGTGTATTTTAACAGTAACCTCCATGGCCCATTGCAGAGTGTTCAGCACATTATGATGCTTGTGTATTTGAGATTGTTATAGTTATTGTCTTAAAAAATGTAACTGCTAGTATGATGGAGAAGTGACAAAGCTGTGTTTAGAGAAATACATCTCATCCTGGCAGACTGTATGCTTGCATGTACCAATCCCTGTCCTTGACTGAAGAGTAGCAGCTCAAGGTCAGGTGCAAATATAACAATATGCATCTGGAGAAGAGGTGACGACTTTTCAAAATAAGCAGAGTCTGGGCATGCGTATCTGACTTAACTACTTCTTAGTTGTTTTAGGGTGTGTGATTGTAAAGGAAAAAACAGCGGTGTCTGACCTATTAGAACCATATAATCCATCCGTTCTGTGGTCACTGTGGTGACTCAATAGGCTAAGTATTGAGCTACCCTGAGCGACTGCAAATTTGTTTCCCAGACTTGGTTTTGGGAGTGGTTTCTGCAGTTTAATGTTTAGGGGAATTAACAATGGTCATGGGTAAAATTTTCAGAAATGGCCAAGTTGCTCAGGAACCCAAGCCCCAATTTTTAAGATTATGTAGAGTGTGCAGAATTCCGAGACCCTTAATTTGCAGTGAAACATAGAAGTGAATTTTCAGCAGTTTCTTTAAATCTAACATGAGTTCTTAGGCTCTAAAATTCTTCATAAGCTGCTATGTATATCTTCCAAGAATAAGAACTAAGGGAAAGTACTCATACCTCGTGGATTTACTTTCCTTCTATAGGTGTCAAGTTCTTTCATGGACCTGCTGCTGGTAAAGACTGTGAGTTTGGAAGGGTGGCATTGGTAAGCTGTTGTGATGGATGCCGGCTGGCAGTCAGATGTTAGGCAATAGCCTGAAGCAAGCAGCAGTTGTCCTAGCGGGAGTTGTGTGATTTCTGGGTTTGGAGGGTTGGCTGTACAAGCGTCAACTTCTGCATTTGTATCATAAGTCAATTTACGAGTCAGTTTGCTGAGTGATGCTCCCTGCGAAGGCAGCTGGTTCCTTGGAGCAGAGCACTGTACAAGGAGGGAGCTCTGGTCCCTAAGAGCTGCATGGAGGAGCATCTTGTCTGGCTTCAACCGTTCGTTCTGTTTGTTTCTGCCTACAGGCAGCACCAGTAATTTCCCTTTCCAAGTTCTTGATCCTGTTGGAAGTCAGACAGGCTATGCAGTTCAGGAAGGCACGGAAGTTAATTGCTTTTGTTGTTACAGGTGGGTTGGTTGGGAAGAGATTAAAACACTGCTCAGGGGAGTCAGTTGAATGTCTTCAGATGTCAAACTG